GAATCTTCCTGGGGTGTTTATAGTGCATTACAGTGTTGAGTCATGTCACTGGCAGACCCACAGTCAAATTTGCACTTGCCCTTCCGTGTGTTTGTGCGTGTGGTTTTCTATAACTTGAATAGTTTGCTTATGCTTTCAGCTACCATGTATTTGTGTTCACAGTACATGTTGAAATTAACATTTAAGTCCATTATGAGTAAAATCAAACATTTAATTAGCTGTAAAATACAGCTGAAATGCGGATGCAGCTTTTATCACGAAATATCAAACTGTTGGATGGGGCGGCTGACAGCAAATAAACAAGAATTTGTTTGATTAATAACTATAACTAAAATCACTGTTTAACAACTATAAAGTACATCTATAAAAGGGTAAAAAAAGGATCAGAAGTCTCTGAATAACCAAGGCACTATTTTGTAACATTTTTGATTCCCACAGACTGCTGCGATACGGTCATGGATGCAGTTAAAAGCAATAAAATTATACACTACTGTTCAAATGGTTGGAGTGAAAAAGATCCCCCCCCCTTTTTTTTTATAAATTATTTATTTCCTTAGCAAGGACTCAAACAAATGCTACAAAAGATCTAAGTGGTGTTCTTTTAAGCTTTCTATTAAACAAGGTATCCTGAAAAAAAATCACGGTTTCTACATATTAAGCAGCACAACTTGACATTGACTGTAATAATAATAATAAAACAAAAATGTTTCTTAGGAACCAGATCGGCATTTTAGAATGCTTTCTGAAGGATCTTGTGGCAATGAAGTCTGGAGTAATTGCTGCTGAAAATTCAGCTTTGCCATCACAGGAATAAATTACATTTTAAAAGTATTTCACAATATTTGTTTTTCTTTTTAATTGCATGAAAGACTTATTTCAAAAACATTTTAAAAATCTCACCCCAAACTTTAAAAATGCAGAATGAGAAAATGATACTCACAACAAGAAAAGAAATATAGACTCACTTTTATTTATTATAATCTTAGTCACACACATATATATATCACCAAACCAAAACAAAATTATGATTGGTAAGAAGAGCCTAGCTTACAATTCAGAGTTTAACTTCAGAAATCAGTGCAAAACTTCAATCATTATCGCACCTGGCCTTGGGAAGGAATGTACAACAATTAATTTGCGAATTTATATTGTAAGCCAAATGCATTATTAGCATTATCATCTGCCTTCACACACATTTTATCAAAGGAAACAAAGAACCAAAATGTAGGCAAATACAAAACCATTTGTATAAAACATTTATAACAAATACATTTTTAAAAACCTCTTTGGAATAAAGATCCTCTATGTACATTTATGTGGTCCGCACATCCATGAACTAGACCACTTTAACTCCAAACTCTACAAAATGACTTATCCAGCCCAACAGAGTGATGCAATCTTATGATTTTCCGCAAGGTTATGCCTCACAGCCCTGCTGTTCAATTTTCTCTTCTGCAGCCACTGGCAGGATGAGGTGAGAAATTCTGCTCCACAGTCCACTCAGTTTATCCACATCCATTTGATTAAACATAGTGGATTTGTTTGAAGTGACAAACTTCTGTTTAACCTGGTCATGTACCATGTCCTCCACTGCACTTAGACTGGTCGTCGGGGCTATTTCATCCACCGAAAGCATCACAGTGAAGACCAGGAAAACCTTCTTGTAAGCAGCATTCTCGTGGTCACAGTAACGATAGAATATAAGCGTAGATCCAGGAGGGAGCTCCTCAAAACGGTGCACAACAGCTGCAGGTTTATCGCCTTCAAATGCTTCCCTCAGCGCTTCATCAATCTCCAGCTTGACCTGGTTACTGTCTTGTGTTCTTTTGGTGGTCCCTTTGATTTCTAAGATCGAAGCATTATGGGTAGCGGAGTACGCCATGGCTAAGCTTCGAGCAAGGCAGCCCAACGTCCTTTCAGCTTGAAGGCCAGCAGTCAGAATTACACTGACTGGTTCAGAGGGGTTGACCATCTCCAGGTGGCTCTTAAGATGTTTCCCACTCCTCTTCCAGAACACGGAGCGCTGACTGGGAAAAAGATCCCGTAGAGCTGCTAACTCCAGATCAAATTTCTCCACTGTTTTAGGATGGACCACATCATTTTGAGGCAATGAGCATAAGAACTTTTGATAAGCCAAAAAGCCCAAAGCCAGTAATCCTGTCAGTATCAGAGACCACAGAAGAAGCTTGCACACATATGACGTCCAGACTAGAAAAACATTAAGTTCCGAATTAACCAAACACTGTGGATGTGAGACAAATCTGTCTGCTTTAATTTATAAAGGAATGGATGAAGGACTCAAAAATACCTTTAGAGGAGGAGGGTGGACTTGCTTTTGAGGTGACTGGTTTCTGCAAATTCTTCAATTCTTGAAGACAAAGTAAAATAATTATGATCTACAAATTCTTAAATATTATCGAACAATTTTTGATTATATATCTTTAGTAATAAAATAGACAATAGTAATAAAAGTGACAAATACAAAATTTTTTTTTTACCTGTGTTTTTGTGATTAGCGGTTTGATTTGTGATGGGATATTTAAATGTTTGGTAGATGTTACTCTTCTGGGGTTCAGTTGGTGGGTATCTATTCCAATTTTCAAGACCAGGGGGATCTATAGTAAGAACACAACCTTTGATTAAATAAAATGAATGAAAAAAAAATTGTAACATATACAGAAAGAACATGATCAAGCATCATAATTTGCACTTTTACCAGTCCAAATATGGCTACTGTAATATATATAATAAAAATACAATAAAAATGTTTTACAAACATTTGGGTTTCTCCGTTATGGGATTCTGATAGTTCATTCTATTCCTATATCTCAATCTATAAGCCTCTTGTTGACTTCCCAATGGAACAGCACCCAAACTAGAGAGATCTGCAATGAAAAAGATACTTGTGAGCAAAGGCGTGCACATGGGGGACGGGCCAGGGATGGCTTGAGCCCCTGCCTGTTTAATTGCAAATGTGGTATGCATTATTTTTAATTCAAAAAATAATTCCATCAATGATAACAAACCTCCATATTTTGTGACTGGTCTGTAATTTTCTTCATTCTTTAGATGAATAGACATTTGACTGCCCTGTAATGCCTCACTTTCCAGATTTTCTTTCAATACAGGGGCAGGATGCACTTTTTCTGTCCCAGGCTGGTCTGAGGAACCTACAAAAGGAATATAACACCCCCTGTTTAATATTATTTTATATTTAATATTATAACACTTATGCTTATTCCTCATTTAGAATCTTACCTTTCAAACTGGACTTGTGGTCCTGCTCCACCTCCTCATCTGAGTTTTCTTGATCCATGTTTTCATCCTGATCATTCTCTCTCATCTCCACATCTGCTTCATCTGTTTGGTTTAATCCATCACCTTTCTCATTTATACTCCTTGTCTTCTCCTCAAGCTTTTGCATCTTAATAGGGGATTCTGTGTTGGTTTAATAAGAAATTAGCACAAACATTAGCATTAAAAATGTTTTGCCCCGAAAAACAAAATGTAAGAGAATTTTTAAAAATTTATTTCACATACCATTTTCATCCTCCTTAGTGAGACTCTTGGGCTCCTTGGATCCATTGACAGCTCTGGATGCCTCATCATCTTCCCTCATTTTCCGGGTTCTTTTTAGTGGAGGTCTGGGTTTAAGATCCTCACTATACAAACCTAAGACAGAAGAGGAACTGGGTAACTACCTTACAGAAATATGCCAACAAACGTAAGATTTTTGTTAAGTATTTTTGCTTGTGCGTCAGCAGAAACCGACACAGATTATGATCTTGACAAGAAAATGAATGATTTTAACGTAAACAGAGACATTAGCAACTATACACTGTGAACTTTATTAATAATCTTATAAGAAATCTTTACAAAATGTTAATGAAATGTATCTAAACGATATATTAAAATAATTAAACCATTAGCTCTTTAGCTCATATGCTCAAGCTAAACAGTGGATATTAAAAAGTAAAAATATATATTAAAATTTTAGCCTAGTTAGCAAATAATTCAAAAGGTTATATAACAAGCATCTTAGTCTACTGAGAGAAAAAGAGAGTAGCTTTGGAAGTACATTTTTGCTCCGTATTATTAATAGCATGAGAGGCACAGACACACAGACACACTTGTGAGACTATCAGTACGAAAATCGCAAGGTTTAACGTTATCACATAAAGAAACGTAATGTACGGGATTGACCTTGAAATAGTTTATATTTCATTTATTGATAACAAATACTGTCTACGTACGTAATCTAAAAGCAAGCAGCGAGTCTTTACGTTTCACGCTTCAGTATTAGAAAGTCAAACCTGTCTTGGATGCCTGTCTGGCGCTTCTCCTCCTAGTAGATACGTCTTTAGAATCACCCGAGTCCATTTTTTTTACATCACACCACTCAAACTTTTTACTTTTCCTGTGTAACGTTAGCCGAAAACGGAAAATTACTGATGGTTTTCGTCGGAGCGACTTCAGTGGAACACAACTTCTCTCCCGGAAATAATAGTTGACAATCACAGTTAGTTTCACTTCTGTAAGTGCGTTAGTACCGCACCAGAATTCATTCGTGTTTATCCCTACCCTTTTAACCACCAGAAACACGTCATAGGAAGCAGAGTAGAGCTGATACATTTATTAAGGCACGTTTATTTTCTCTAATAAAGCTTTGAAGTAGAAAAAAAAATCAACCATACAACAAATATAACACGTTCATCCGTGGCCAACCAAATTTACAGATTAAAAATAACTTTAATGTAAGACATAATTTAGATGCATACAGATCTACATAAAAACAAAGAAAGAAGAACTAAAAAAATGGGGAAACTTCCTTCATTTTATCCTTTTATAAATTTCATAATCTGAAACGTTGTAATTCAGTGTGAAAGAAAGAAAACAGGCCTATGCAGCAGCACATACCTATATGCATTTATATATATTTTTTGTCTGAATCCAAAGTATGAGTCTAATATTTAAGTTAAAAGTAATTTGTGGGGGAAAAAAGTGTGATAACTATTTTCAAAATGATGTATCCCAATCCCCACAGCCCTGCTCTTCAATTTTCTTTTCTGCAGCCACTGGCAAAATGAGATGTGAAATTCGGCTCCACAGTCCACCTAGTTTGTCAACATCCATTTGATTAAACGTAGCTGACTTGTCAGAGGAAACAAACTTCTGTTTTATGTGCTCTTGAACCATCTCCTCAACTCTTCCTAGACTGACATTGGATGGCACTTCCACTTCTGCATCAAGCATTACAGTAAAGGCCAGGAAGACATCTTTAAAAGCCGCATTCTCATGGTCGCAGTAACGGTAGAAGATGAGAGTGGATCCAGGAGGGAGCTCCTCAAAACGGTGGATAACTGCAGCAGACTTTTTACCCTCAAAGGCTTTTCTCAATTCACTATCAATGTCCAGCTTGACCTGATCACTGTCTTGTGATGCTTTGTTTTTGCCATTAATATTCAGAACTGAAGAGTTATGGGCAGTAGAAAAGGCTCGGGCCAAGCATAGGGCCAGGCAACCAAGCGTCTTTTCAGCTCTGTGACCAGATGTCAGAATCAGGCTGACGGGTTCAGTGGGGTTCTTAGTCTTTAGGTGGCGCCTGAGATGAATAAGACTCCTCCTCCAGAGCTCTGGATGCTGATTTGGAAAGGTAGTCTCAAGTTTTTTCATTTCCTGATTGAATACGTCCACCACATCAACCTTGTTTGGTATAGGTGGAGTTGAGTCAGGACTACGCTGACATAATGCACAAACCAAAGCTAACAGAATGACAGCAGCTGCAGTCCAAACTGTTTCTGTGAGAAAAGAAATTAATAAAGTAAAATACTGTCTGCTTGCAAAAGTAGACAAGTAATTTGTTTATAAGTTAGTACATTCAGAGAGGAGAGGAAAACAACTCACTATTATTCCCTTGCACAATGATCTGTGGTTGGACGTTCTCATCCCTCACCACATCTTCTTCATCGCTTGCCGTCTCTTCTTCTTCAGGCTTTTGGATATTAAGAGGGGATTCTGTGTTGATTTAAAACAAAGATAATGAGAACAAACATTAGCATACCAAATATGTTTTGGTCACTGAAGCAGCCACAATTCTGTTGTCTATAAGGGAACGTTGAATATTATAAATTCACAATGTGAAACAAAAAACACATCTAATAAAAGTTAATACTTGACCTCTAACTCCCTGCATATTTATATTTCCCTGTTCAGAGACCATTAATTCAAATTTGATTCCTCTCTGATTCCTGACCTGGTTTCCTGAACTGCTTATGCTTAACCACACAAACACATCTAATAAAAGTTAATACTTGACCTCTAACTCCCTGCATATTTATATTTCCCTGTTCAGAGACCATTAATTCTAACAAGCACTAATTCTGAATCAAAAAGCATGGCCAAAACTTCCTGTTAAATCTGATTCCTGACCTGGTTTCCTGAACTGCTTATGCTTAACCACACTTATAGAAAGCAAGCAAATGCAATAATATACTTTATTCTAAGACAAAATACCTTCTTTTCTCTTTTAGTATATAAATGCAATAATATGCTTTATTCTAAGACAAAATACCTTCATTTCTCTCAGGTTTACTGCCTTTTTCTCCATCCACTTCTCTATTAGGTCCTGTGCCAGAGTGAGGTTGGTTCTCGGTCTCAGAACCAACTGACCTGGTTCCAACCTCAGAACTGCTTATGCATAACCACACTTATAGAAAGCAAGCAAATGCAATAATATGCTTTATTCTAAGACAAAATACCTTCTTTTCTCTCAGGTTTACTGCCCTTCTCTCCATCCACTTCTCTATTAGTTTGTGCTGCTCAATTACAGCGAAAATCATACTCAAAATCATTATTTTACAAAATAAAAATTAACCTCTTGAGACCCGGCAAAACATTTTAGAAAAAATTTAGTATTTTTTCATGTCATTACACTGTTTAGAGCATTAATAAAAATGTAAAAAAATAAAAAATTTAAAATGAGATTTCATTCATAAGTTATGCTACGCCCTTGGTAGAGGACATCAGGACTCAATTTTTTTTTTTAAATAAAAAGACATGAATGAACATGCATAGGCAAAAACAATAGATTTTTTTTTACATTTTAGAATACATCTTTAGTTTTCAGGAATTTTTTTTTTTTTTTTTTTACCAAAC